AAAAAAGCCAGATTAAATGTTTCTACGCTGGCAAACCCTAAGCTGAAGAAAAGAAGCATTTGCTAATAAGTGCAGCTCTTTCCAAACCCAGCCTACATCTACTTTTCTTCAGAGTCTTCTATTGTTATGGTTGCCTATAGTTGCCTTCTACTGTTATAGTAGGTACAAGCTAACGTGCTCTTATTCACGTTTACTATTTAAACAAGAGTGGACAGCTGGAAGGTGGCCTGGCATGGAAAGGATGGCATAGGGGCTATCCTATTTATTATTCCGTTCAGTTCACTCAGACCTTAATAAAAGATAATGAAAAAGATCCTTACCTAAGACTTTGGTGACCAAAGGTGGTCTTTTGGAAACAGGCAAGTAGACTCCCATGAAGTAGACTGGAATTCCAGAGAGTGCGATCCCAATGCCAATCAGTGAATTAATGGTGTCACTATAGAGTGGCACAACCACTAGAAAAATTGAGCACATGCAGAAGACTATTGGGAAAAACAGGCTCAGCTGTAAAAGAGAAAATACAGCACTGAATAAATAGGATGAAGAGTAAGAAGTCATCTTCCCATTTACTATGTTTCCCATAGTCATTTCCAGTTTCTCTCCAGAAACCACCTTCTAGCCATTCAGAAATTGCTAATAGGTCCACAGAAGACACCAGGACCATTAATAATACACCAAGGTAGTTTTAGTCTCTTTGCAAAGAACCAATGATTGTTTTTATATAAATGGTGGGTTTAAACTTGTGTCGTCCTACCTTGAGCGGTCGGTGCCGATCCGGTTGCTTCCACCGGAGGTAGAGCTGTCCAGCAATGGATAACCCCACAAAGAACCAGTAGCTGAAACTGAAGTAGTTAATAAGCAGGAAGACATCTTCTACAGTCAAGTAGATGAGGGTCATAGTACACTGTTAGAGAAGATAAGGGGAAGCCATAAAGATTTCCAAGCAAAGCATTTTCCAACTTCTACATTGCAGCAGCATTTGTGTTTATTCTTTTGGAAGTAAGGTCACTTTGGGGCTGGAAAATAATTCAGTATGACATTTTATTGATACAACTATTCAGCCTGGCTTCCATTAAAAATTTTATATTGGAGCACAGTGAAATAAATGAGAACGGGCCTCCTTTCTGTGACCACAGCATGAGGTTCCATGTTATTTGGCAGATCAAGCCTGTTATTTGTTTGGAGCATCCACCATATACCAGGGCCTTACTGGCATCAGGATAATGGAGAAGCAGAAAACAGCAGCAGCAAACAGGAACAAATTTAGATCCATTTTTCAGTGGTTCTAAACATCCTCAGTGTTTTGAGGTGTGGTAGAAGGCCAGAGAAGGCCAGGCCTATCCTATCCTCACTATTCCTCCATCATGACCTTTCTTGCATCTTTTCCATGTCTAAGATTTCTCACTCTCCACCCCCACCCCCAAAAAAGGCTTAGAAGCCAACAGGAATTGGAATCCAATGTTTGATCTCCCCATCCAATTTCAGGAGGGTTAGGATGCAAACCTCTCAGTAGCCTCTGCAATGCTCTCCCAAGGCTTAGAAAATTCCTATCAACTCCGTCCGTTACCCACATTAAAGATAAGTTATGACTGCAGAGAAAACAAGCTTTTGGATGTTTCCAGGATCAAACACTGTAACTAAAAGTCTATCCATCTTCTCCAGTGGATAGTTCTGTGATGCAGAATGAGTACAAGCAGCTGAATAATCACAGTAATTGACTTACATTGAAGAGAAGTGCTGGGATAGGTGTAAACCTTCCTATGTGGATCATGGACAAGAGGTCAGGCAGATGACCTTCCCGAGATCCTACAAAGAATAGCCTGAATAAAAGAGATTGCATACTTAATATCCCATGCAATAAGAATCTAAGAACAGTCCCCAAACTATTTCTGCATGGTTTATACAGTGGGGCAAAAAAGTATTTAGTCAGCCACCAATTGTGCAAGTTCTCCCACTTAAAAAGATGAGAGAGGC